TACGCGGCTTCCCTGTCTCTGACTCAATACCATACCTTTGCTAGTAGGATTACTAGTTCCCATGAGTGAACAGAAGGTCCTTGCGAGTGTGATATTCACCGCTTCTGTTAGTCATCCTGCAATGAAGCGCAATAGAACAAGGAGACGAGAATATACAACAATATACCGTTCTCACTATACATGAGTAACCACTCGTTTTTGCGCAATACAGAATGATGGAGTTGGTTTGCAGGAACAGCGTCCTATCAATTATCGATCAACTTCAAATTGAGTTAGAGTGGCTAACAAAGCGAGGTTTAGTTTTTCCAATGATCAAAGTTCACATATAAGACCGGAAAGGAAAAGTCTTAAACGCCGCAACGAAAAGAAATCGCAACCAGACAGGCCTCCGTTATGCAATTACCGCAGTCTTGGGCGCACTACAAGTGTTAGCCGTGAACAATGANNNNGAACAATGATGAGCACCGATAGACGTCACTCCGCCTAGACAGTTCTTCGACGCCTGCCTCGATAATTTGAGTGAGCTGGATATAATGGGGAATGATTTTTGCTCGGGATGCAGATGTTAATGGGTTTCCCCAGCTAGAGGTGTTGATTGCAGACGCTTGGTAACCCAGCTAGGCATTATCATCAGTACGATCTCGGGGAAGCGCTAATCCTCAGTGTGACCGGGCTAGAGGGTTTTTATGTCCCCCGAATCCTATTAGTGATTTGTGACTGTTTGCTGGGATTTGGTTGGCTGGTTTCTTGTCATGTTGATCCCCTCTTGCTCAATAGATAGTGATAAGCTTGTTTGTCCTATATGCTTGTTTATACTGTCGCATCTAGAGTATCATGCTTCCATGAATTCCCACATTGACATTGCCGTTCCTCTTCTGATTATTTTCGCGTTGTCCAGTTCGAGTGTGTGATTCAGGACATCCATGTACATTGAAATTCTCCTCATATATATTTGAAAGCCAGTTTGTGCTCGAGCAAAAACGCACTACAGTATCCTCCAACTTCAAAAGGTAGAGAAAACCCACCTTTTGAAGATTTTCTATGTAACGGATACTCACGAGCTTACATGCGACGCGTAAGGAGAAGACGACAATCGAAGTCCCAAGAGAAGGGTGATGGCGGTGCAGTGGTTTAGTCGCTGTCATCGACGTGCTTTGGACCCTATGGTCCGAGGTTCGAGCCCCGTCACCGCCACCCGACTTCGGTGGTTCGATAGGCAGCTCTGCTGTCGTCCGGTTCAATACCACGCCTAACCTATCGGGGCCACCACTCCAAGTCCCGGGGATTAGGTTGTCAATTTTCACCAGTGAACAGCAAGTCTTCGTGACTATGAGGTTGGCCCATTCTGCTCCTCATTACACTTAGGTGTGTAATAAAAAAACTTAAAAAAATCTAGAAGAAAGATCGACGATAAAATAAGCAACATATAAGGAGTATCGGGAATGGCGATCAGACTAATACAATTATCAGGAATTTCAGAGGCACACAAGACAACAGTGACAGTAAAAAGTATCCTATAAAGACCAAAAGAAGATTCCTCAAACGTGGTAGACGAGTTAGCGTCGAGACTGCAAGAAATACCATGTCGGACAGACCAGTCGAAGACTAAAGACATGACCACACGCCTGAGATATGGTTCACAGACAGTCATCTGCAGTCAGAATCAAAAACTGATCGTTTTTGTCGTTTTTTTAAATTGAATTCACCAAGCCCGCACACAGTCGATAAACCGGAGTAATAATCGCATACGGACTCTACGACTTCTTACGTTTGAGTAGTGAAATTTATATCAATGGTGAGTTTCTTAAAGTGGGCAGTCTCCCAGCTTACAACAATCAAAAGATTACCGAATAACTTAAACAAGGAGGCTCTGATTGGCACACATGAATGAACAAATCCATTTGTCGAAATTCCATATATAAGAACCGGTCCTAACTCTCTTCCAAGCAACGGACATTTTGGAATGCTACCGGGGAGCATATGCCAAATAACCGAGGGACGTGTTAAGCATCTAACTGCATAGGCTTCCTTGATGTGCGACGTTGGCTCGGGCAGATCATCAATGCAAGTAGGCCAATGGTGCTCAAACTAAAATGTGGCACGATGGAATGAAAACCCTGGCCGTGGCTCTCCCTCGCATTCCGTGTTTGGGATGTCAGGTGGTTAGAGACGATGAATGATATATATATATTTTATAAGTCCGGTGAATTCCAAGGAAAACCTGTCGAGGCAGTCAGCTTACATGCTAACTGGTGGATGCCACATGCCTCTGTAAGTTGGATGGGTAAATTCGAATGTGAAAATGATCAGTGCTATCGGTGTGGCCTCGTAGCTCAGCTGGTAGAGCATGCGCGTACAAAGCGTAGGCGGTGTCCATGCGTGGGTTCGAATGCCACCGAGGCTACTGAACTTTTCACAATGGACATAGAAACTTCAAATCTGCCAAACAACTATTTGAACAATGAACCTTGTNTATATATATATATATATATATATATATATATATATATATATATATATGCCAAAGTGTAGTACACAGTAGCGCTCGTGCATCTGCACAGATTGAGTTTTCTTGTTTTCTGCATCCTCAGTATGGTCGGGGGTGGGTGTCTAGGGTTGTGGCTGGTTACTCTTCCCTTGCACCTCTAGAAATGCTCCCATACGACCAAGCGTTTCAAATAGTCTCTGCTGAGGAAGTCCTACTAGTTGCCTTTTTGTGGTGGTGTTTCCCCACCAAAGTGAGAGGACGAAAAGTCAACATCCGGGACTATAACCGGGTTGATGGACCATTGGTAGTCCACCTAGGGGAGTTGGCCAAAAACCCTGATTCCAAACCAAACAAGAGGAGGCGACGAACCGCACCCACACCGGCTCGATTGGGCAGCTTAGACGTTTGACCCCGTCCGAAAGGCGTATGATCCGATGAACTGAACACCGATCCCAATGGAGTGCGGTTTTCACACACCGCCCAGCTCTCTGGCGGGTCAGGCTTTGGCTAGTCAAAGGCTCCGATTGTGGGTTCCTCAAGCAAATTCACCCGCCTTGGGCTGGGCAACCTGGTAGTATTCAGCCCATGCAAAACGTGAATCGTTTTTCTTTTCATAAATATTATTGTACCGCGATTTATTTCGCACACAGTGTGTGAGCTGATAAAAACATAGAGTGACACATATTAACGGGATTTCATAAAAGAGAAGTCAAGCCAAAGTAGAGGCGTTTTATTTGCTCCAATCAGACTGTACAATAAATAGGATAAATGAATATGTTAGAACAAAATACGAGTAGATGCGTGCTTACATATGAAAAACAGAGCCACTGGACCAGGCAATGGATTAAAGTAGGTTAGTATATGGAAATTGATCACCACTCCATATATTTCGCTCTCTACCCCTCGCACCCCGTGTGTATGACTGACTGAAAGACAGGAGTGAGAAAAAAGGGACTGCAAAAAATACTAATGAATGGGTGAAATCACAACCCCGTGGATGGAGCATGGCATGAGAGTAGAAAAATGACTGCACACAGACCAGTACGAGGATGTATAAAGCCCGGTGCATCGGGGTAGTGGCAGCACAATTCGACATGGATGCACAAAGATAGTGAATCAGTCCCTTGCTGCATGCAAAACGACAGGTGATAGGGCAGCTTTTGCACGAATCGGATCTGAGTCTCCGAAACTGTTCGAATCACTCGACCCGATAGTGGAAGAGGAACGGGACGACTGAACTGCACACCAGGAACCAATACATCGACTCCATAACAGATCGATGGTGAACGCCAGGGTTAGGAGCACACTGAGTACGAGAGTGGTGCTGCTCAGGACACAAGTGTAGCGCCAAAACGAAGCCAAATGATGCACATAGCCGACAGCTGCCGGGATCAGCATTTGACCGATGAGACCGGCCAGTTGAAGACGATGCACATTTCGATTGCCCGATGTGTCCGCACCGGTGATACCCATCGTGGATGAGGACAAACCGATACCCAGACCGAGGAAAAGNAAAAGACTGCCTCCAAGCCAGAATATGTGAGACGGTGAAGTATGAGTCGAAGATTCAGATTCCGGCACAATACAACCATCACCGGACAGAGAGAAACGAGCCAACCAAAGCGCACTGAATGTACACACAACACCGCCACAGATACGAAGCACAACGACTCGACAAGGAAGTTGACTGTTTGTTCGCATACGTAAATGAAGATCGAGGGGAGGAGAGAAAAAAGGATTTTCCAGTAACAAAAGCTATTTCAAGCGATTCATCTAGTTGGGATAATGTTTAGACACCTGAACAGGAATATGAGTAAAAATTTTGGTACATACATGATGCAACCCCGAATTCTTCAAAAGTGTTTTTACTGACCTGCATTATTACGATGTGTTTCGGAAATCCTAACTCCTAATTTATTATGACCACGTGGTCATCACTAAACGGAATAAAGGACACTAGTGGTTTCGCTCAAGTCAGTCAGTTATCTGCTTTATTGGCAAAAGAATACACAAAAAGCAGTAGCGTATACACGATCCCTATTCAAGAAATGCAAGAAATTTAAAATGCGGGCGATCTTGAAAGTTTCAACGATTCGACCGACTGGACAGTTTTATCCAACAAATGGCGGAATAAATAAATCAACTGACTGATGGATTAGGTCTCCCAGCGAACTCAAGAAGCGGTTTGGATGACGGAGCATATTAACAGTCTAAGACTGTATGTAGAAATGATTGCGCATCTTGATATCGATTGTGCGCAGTATAGACGTTGTGGTGAGATGAACAATGGCAATGCATGGAAGTGAATATATCCAAATATCAAAAACATCATCATTGTACAGCGTAAAACAGTGAAGCTAACTTTGCTGATCACAGTCAAACTCATATCGCATACAAGGCAAGCGAGAATGTGTAAAGAAGACAGGGATTGGGCCTATTTTTAGAGACGAGAGAAGAAAGCGAACCTCTATGGTCAAAGCACAGAGTACGAAGTCCAACTGTGCATATCTACTATTTTAAGCATTCTGGTCTGATAAGATGTGATAGCAAGATCACCATTGTTGTTGGTTCGCAGCAATGACCTTCAGTGTCGCCAACCATGTGCTTTCGGAGTCTTTTGAACACCATCCCGGAATTGAGTACCCATGCGGAAAACTTCTAGCCTACAGTCCAATCCCGAATAATCCCAGATCATCATCATCATCGTACAGCGAAATACAGTGAAGCAAACTTTGCTGATTGCTGCCAAACTCGCAATGCATACAAGGTTAGTGGTAAAATTTAAGGTGGACAGAGATTGGATCTATTTTGAGCGAGAGAGAAGATGAGTCACTATGGTCAACACAGAGTACGAAACCGAACTCTGCATACATACCGTTTAAAGCATTCTGACCTGATAAGAAACGACAACAAGGAAGTCACTGTTGCCGGTTCGCTGCCATATCCTTCAATGTCTCCAATCAACCAGTTGTGGAGTCTTTCAAACCCCAACCTGGAAGGTGAGAGATACCTACTCTACCTAATGGCTTCTAATTAGGAATACGGGTCCCAGGAAAATAGGCGTAAGTGAGGTAATTAAGGAATCCGACGGCACAGTGATTCACGATCAGTAACGCCGTCTGGACCGTTGAATGTTCAAAGCTCAGTTCAACTGGCCCCCATAGACACTTTATCTTTCACTCTCCACCTCGACTGGACAAATACTCCCAGTTGATGCTAGCCCTCCATCTGAAATGGAGGTTTCCCGGGAAATAAGTTATCTCAAAAGGCATAAGGCCGCCGGCCCAGATGGGCTGTTCCCATCAGCGTTTAAGGATGGAGGCTCAGCGTTAGTCTTGGAGTTGACAAAACTCCTGGGCTCAATATGGGAAAGAGAGGAGGTTCCAGCTGAATGGTGTGAGTCGGTCATCATGCCGATTTACAAGAAAGGTGATAGATCCTCTTGTGAAAATCATAGAGGAATTAGTTTAATCAACATTGCCTCTAAACTTCTCGCTGGCATCATACTCCGCCGATTGTCTGCCGCACGTGAACTGTGCACGCATGAGAACCAGGCTGGTTTTAGGACCGGTCAAGGTTGTATCGACCACATCTTTACTCCGACAAATTCTGGAGCATCGACATTATTTTCGTAGACCCACCATCTCTGTCTTCTTAGATCTGAAAGCGGCTTTCGACTTAGTCGACTGCTCTAAACTCTGGCGTTGCCTTTCTCTGAAAGGTGTGTCTGAGAAGTTAATTTCAATATTACGATCGCTTTATACTAATAGCCGAAGTCGAGTCCGGCTTACGGCATTTTTGCTCCCGAGTTCACCACGGAAAGTGGTGTTCGACAGGGTTGCTCTCTCTCTCCTTTTCTATTTAACTTTGTTATAGATCTGATTATGAAAACAGCCCTATCCTCGTGCGAGGATAGTGGCATCGATTTACTTCTAGGTGGCAGGATGTCTGATCTGGAGTACGCAGACGACATTGTGCTGCTAAGTGAAGATCCAGGTAAGTTGCAAGCATTTCTGGAGTGAAACATTTCGATCCCGTAATGAACTTGAAAAGACAAGTCAGAAGACAAACACTGCGAGAGGAATTCCTTTCGTACGCGACCGATGAGAGTATACGAAAGGAATTCCTCTCGCAGTGTTTGATTTCTGGATAACTTGAATGCCAGTGTAGCCATATTCGGTATGCGTTTTGCACCTTCAAAGTGTAAAATGTTACTGCAAGACTGGGTTGGTCCAGCACCCAGCCTCACTCTTACTGGAGAAGTATTAGAGCAGGTGGATAAGTTTTATTATTTGGGCAGCTACATCTCACCCGGTGGAGGCATCACGGATGAAGTGTCAGCTCGCATACAGAA